GTGTACCACCACACCCAACTGTTTTTTTTTTTAAGATGAGGTCTTGCTATGTTACCCAGGCTAGTCTCTAACTCCTGGCCTCAAGACATCTTCTAAAGTGTTGGGGTTATAGATGTAAGCCACCGTGCCTGGCCATTTGTTCTTTTAAATTTTTTAGCCTGGTGCAGTGGCTCACACCTGTAGTCCCAGCACTCTGGAACGTGGAGGCAAGTGGATTGTCTGAGTTCAGGGGTTCGAGACCAGCCTAGGCAACTTGGTGAAACCTTGTCTATACAATAAATCAAATAATTAGCTGTGTGCAGTGGTGTGCACCTGTGATTTCCGGCTACTTGGAGGGCCGAGGTGGAAGGATCACCTGAGCCCAGCAGGTCGAGGCTGCAGTGGCCATGGGTGTGCTATTGCACTCCAGCCTGGGCAACAGAGTGAGACTCCTACTCTAAACTAATTAATTAATTAATTTTTGATCAACTTATTGAGAGGTATAATTTACATACAATAAAATGATTATTTATTTTTTGAGTTGAATCTTACTCTGTCTCTCAGGCTGGAGTGCAGTGTCATGATCATGGCTCACTACAGCTTTGATCTCCTGGGCTCAGGTGATCCTTCTGCCTCAGCCTCCTGAGTAGCTGGGACAACAGGCTAGTGTTTTTACTTTTTGTGGGGATGAAGTCTTGCTATGTTGCCTAGGCTAAAATGATATCTTAAATATGAAGTTCTTCTCCCTTGGGAGCTGCTTATAAAAAAATAATAATAAATAAGCAATTACATAAGTTTACAAATACAAAGTCTCATGAGCTAACAGATTTATGCATCTATATAACCAGGAGTCAAATCAAGATATAGAACACTTCTGTCACCCACAAACTTCCCTTGTGTTCTTCTCAAACTTCTCACTTTCAGAGGTAACCTCTGATTTTTTTTTTTGAGTCAGAGTCTCACTCTGTCGCCCAGACTAGAGTGCAGTGGTCACTCCTGGCCACTGCAGCCTCGCCTGCTGGGCTCCAGCGATCCTTCTGCCTCAGCCTTCTGAGTAGACGGAATTACAGGCATGCGCTACCACGCCTGACTGATTTTTTGATTTATTGTAGAGATGAGGTCTTGCTGCCCAGGCGGGTCTCGAACCTGCAGGCTCAGGCAATCTACTCACCTCAGCCTCCACTCACCTCAGCCTCCCAAAGGCGCGGGATTACAGGCTGAGCCACTGAGCCAGGCTTAAAATTATATCTTAAATATGAAGTTCTCCGTTGGGAGCTGCTTATATAAAAAATAAATAAATAAGCAATTACATAAGTTTACAAATACAAAGTTTCATGAGCTAACAGATTTATGCATCTATATAACCAGGAGTCAAATCAAGATGTAGAACACTTCTATCACCCACAAACTTCCCTTGTGTTCTGCCCAAACTTCTCACTTTCAGAGGTAACCTCTGATTTTTTTTTTTTTTTTTATTGGAGTCTCACTCTGTCGCCCAGACTGGAGTGCCATGGCTGCTCCTGGCCACCACAGCCTCGACCTGATGGACTCTGGCGATCCTTTCGTCTCAGCCTTCCGAGTAACCGGAATTACAGGCGCCCGCTACCACGCCCAGCTAATTTTTTTGATTTATTGTAGAGATGAGGTCTCGTCAAGTTGCCCATGCGGGTCTCGAACCCACGGGCTCAGGCAATCCACTCACCTCAGCCTCCCTAAGGCACGGGATTACAGGCTGAGCCACCGAGCCCGGCTTCCTCTGATTTTTATCACTATAGATTTCATTTTTCCTATTATTGAATCTCACATAGATAGATATACAGTATGTGTCTCTTGCATCTGGTGTCTTTCCTTCAACATAATAAGGTCTGTAAGATTCATTTATTTCTTCATATCTATCAACAGTTTGTTCTTTTTTTTTTTTTTTTTTTGTTGGAGTCTCACTCGGTCACCCAGACTGGAGTGCAGTGGCCACTCCCAGCCACCACAGCCTTGACCTGCTGGGCTCCGGCGATCCTTCCACCTCAGCCTTCCAAGTAGCCGGAATTACAAGCATGCGCTACCACGCCCGGCTGATTCTTTTATTTATTGTAGAGATGAATCTTGCTGCCCAGGCGGGTCTTGAACCCGCGGGCTCAGGCAATCCACTCACCTCAGCCTCCCAAAGGCGCGGGATTACAGGCTGAGCCACTGAGCCCAGCTAGTTTGTTCATTTTGATTGCTAAATAACTCACTGAATAAATAAATATACCATAATTTGTTCATCCATTTTCCTGTTGATGGACATTTGGGTTGTTTCCAGTTTGGGACTATTATGACTAAATATACTAGGAACATTTGTATTTAAGTCTTTTGTGGACATATGTTTTATTTCTTATGAATAATAACTAGGAGTGGAATTGCTGGATCATAGAGTAGGTGTGTGTTTAACGTCTTTTTTATAATATTTATTTATTTAGAATCAGGAGGAGAGGGAGAGGACTTAGGTAATATGTTATTGATGTTGGGTTGGCATGGGGTGTAATTGCTCTGTGGCTTCTTGACTTCGCCACAGAAAAGAATTTCAGAGCAAGTCCAAAGTACAGTTTTAAAGTAAAGTTTATTATAAAGAAAAATACATTCAAAAGAGAAAGTAGGTACCTTAAGAGAAAGGACACACCCTTGCCTTTAAGAAGAAGCTCCGCCGAGCTTGGTGGCTCAGCCTGTAATCCCGCGCCTTGGGAGGCCGAGGTGAGTGATTTGCCTGAGCCCGTGGATTCAAGGCCCACCTGGCTAGACCTCATCTCTACAATAAATCAAAAAAATTAGCCGGGTGTGGTAGCGTGCGCCTGTAGTTCCAGCTACTTGGAAGGCTGAGGGGGAAGGATTGCTGAAGCCCAGCCGGTCGAGGCTGCAGTGGCCGGGAGCGTGCCACTGCACTCCAGTTGGGGCGACGGAGTGAGACTCCAACTCAAAAAAACCCCCCAAAACAAGAAGCTCCATATAAGTTTACAACAATGGTTAAGCAAACTATTTCACAAGGTAAGAGTGAGGGCTGTAGGTCTCTGATCATAAGATTTGATTACAATCTCTCAACCTCTTAAGGTCACAAGAACCTTCTAAATAATGAAAGTTACTGCCTAACTAGATTTGGGCTTTTCTTAGAACATTCTGTCTCTGTATTTTGGGCAATTCCCTATTTCTGTGATTTACTGCACTGGTAGTTTCACATTCCAACCTGCAAGGTGGTCACATCAGATATGTCTGTCCAGTGAAGGTCATGTACAGATAAGAAGGATAAGTGCTTAACCACCCTGTTCCTCAATTATATAAATTAGACATACTTAGGAAAACTTGCCTAACTACATCTAAACTATGTGCTATGTTAAGGCAGCTTCATTATGAGTCTGATGGACTATTGTACTGCCATTATTTTGATAATTATGACATTTAAAACACACAGAGCTCCGTGGCTCAGCCTATAACCCAGCACTTTGGGAGGCCGATGCGGGTGGACTGCCTGAACCCGCGGTTTCAAGACTAGCCCAGGCAGCTTGGCGAGACCTTGTCTCTACAATAAATCAAAAAATTACCCGGGCATGGTAGCAGGTGCCTGTAGTTCCGCTACTTGGAAGGCTGAGGCAGAAGGATTGCCAGAGTCCAGTAGGTTGACGCTGAGGTGGCCGTGAGCGTGCCACGATATTCCAGCTGGGCGATGGAGATTCCAGCTCAATCAATCAATCAATCATACTCAACCTTATAATTAAAAAGTTAAATTTAGCCGGGCTCAGTGGCTCAGCCTGTAATCCCGCGCCTTTGGGAGGCTGAGGTGAGTGGATTGCCTGAGCCCGCGGGTTCGAGACCCGCCTGGGCAGCGAGACCTCATTGCTACAATTAATCAAAAAATCAGCCGGGCGTGGTAGCGTGCGCCTGTAATTCCGGCTACTCGGAAGGCTGAGGCGGAAGGATCGCCGGAGCCCAGCA